CAGGTTTTAAGGTTTAATAGCTCTGCTTCTATGTTTTTGATTAATTTGGTAAACAAATTCAGGTGACCTTTTCTGAGTAATATTATCTTGAAATTACCACCATATTCAGAAGGCATTATCAAATCCATACAGCTCAAAAGTTAAAATATTTGCTCAAATACAAGGATAAGGGAAGAGTAAATTGTGTTGTCATCACATTTTTGACAAAGTGAATGAATTAAATAGTTTTAGGATGATGGTAATAACTTTCCAAAAGGAAGTACAGAATACGTGGAATTTAAATAAAAATGACCACTATGTTATATATGATAATCCACACATACACCATTAAAAACTTTTTAAATGAATTTATTGATAAAAACTTTCTTTTTCTGCATATTATCTATTGTATATTTTTTGAAAGAATTGTTTTTCCAAATTACATAACTCTCTGCACTATGCTTCTAATTGAGATATGTACCATTGTTTAGAGCTCTGTGGTATGAAATTAGACCAGCAGTTTTCTAATATCCATAAAATAAATTAAAAAAAGTTCCTCCTCTGAAAGACAGATAATTCAGTCACAGAGAGCTTATTTCTATGTTTCCTTTGTTTTCTTTTTTTTTAGCTGCATGGTAAGCCAATTTTCTACTTAGACTCTACTGTTACAACTCTCATTTGGTTCAGTATGTGGGCTTTATCCTTTCCATGGTCTGTTATGCAAAAAAGATGGCTTAAAAAATTTTTTTTTACTTTGCTGTAAAGCAGTTGTTCTCAACTTGGATGCACATGAGAATCACCTAGGGAACCTGTAAAAGAACACTGATGCCTCCTCCCCCTCTGGAGATCCTGATGTAACTGGTCCGGGTGGGCCCCTTTGTAAAAGCTCTGCAGGTGACTGTAATGTGTTGCCAAGGCTAGGAACCACTACTTGAGGATCTTGCGACTGTCCAAATAAAAGCTGATTATCTTTTCTGATTGAACTTGGATGGGAAATGCTTTTAAAAAATTCTATAGTTTAACAGATGCAAAGATTAAATTTCTTCTCTATGAGACTATTCCTTTTTTAGTTTCAATTTTAGGGTTTCAGAATATACTGTATTTTTTATTCTGATTATTAGTTCAAGAAGTCCATTGGTTGTTAGTGAAAAAAAATTTAAAGACACAGGCCTGAATGTTACTTTTATAGACTATTGGTTTTAGTTCATGATATTCTAAAAAATGTACTACAATTCATAGTTAAAGAGTATGTCGGGGCCAGCCCGGTGGTGCAAGCAGTTAAGTGTGGGCGCCCCATTACGGCGGCCCGGGGTTCGCCGGTTCGGATCCCGGGTGCGCACTGACGCACTGCTTGGTAAGCCATGCTGTGGCGG